GCTTGGTCACAGCCAGCTACCCAGAGGGACTGAGAAGTTGAACCTGTGGGCTTGGGACCATAGTCGCAGGGGACATCAAGCTCAATTGGCATAACATGTTACATAACAAGCGAGTAGCGACTGGGATCTTAAAAGCTTACAAGCTGCCATCTAGATGCAACGATGAGTCTCTCCCCATCCAGAGAAAAGAGGAATGAAGAAAACCAGAAATTCATGGATGCAATCATTCCTAGCGACTGGTACACCATCCAATCTGCAGCTTATATGACTATGAGACCAGAATAACTAGATAGTGCCCAGCTACCAATGTCAACCACTTAGAAGTGGATCTATGTAGGAGATCCTGGATAGAGAGGGAGAACAATGTGGACAAAACAGAAAATCATTTGGAGAAAAAGAAAAAAAGGGGGGGGGGCAAACAGGTTTGCTGGTCCAGTAGAGCTAGGTGGAACCACTGAGACTATGGCCCCTAGCTGCCCGTCAGGTCTGAAATTGAACCCACATCGGTGGCTTCCAGCCAAAGAAAAGACAGGCATATGAGTTGAACACTTACCTGAGGTAGATATATTCCTTGGAGAAAACAATCATGGGAGGAAGAAGGGCTGCTTATGCACAGGGAGACAGCTCAGGGAGCAGGAGGGCTCGGAGGTATGGACATAGGGAAGAGGTTATTATCAGGAGGAAGTGGGAGAGGAGCTGTTGCATTGTCGTAAATTGTGGTCAATGCCATGAGATGGAGTGTATGTGAACTGCTGTATGGAAAGTGAATTTGCTCTGTAAATTTTCACCCAAATCACAATTAAAAAAAAAGTTTTGCCTTTACCTTATAGGCAATACAGGACACTTTAAATCAAAGGAGTGATGAACTTGTGTCTGTGGCTAGCTATTTGCTAGGAAAAGGGACTAGAAAGTTACACCTGTTGAAGAAGGACTGCACTTGTAATTTTGGTCCCTAGGGGTACCAGGATATACAGTAACAAATTTATTTTTCTCTGTATCAATAGATACATAGGTTGACTATAGATAGATAGATGTAGATATGAATATATAGATACACGTATGCACAGTTTTTGATAACTAAAACTCTCTGAAGTTGGAAAGTTGTGCCAAGCTCCCATGTCAATGGTGATGACCAAGCAGACACTAAGTGCACAAGCAGCAGATGGGAATGAAGTTAAACAAAATGGCACTGAAAGCCTCTTCTCATACTCAGACTACCAAATTCTATCATTCCAATCTGAGTTCAATGAAAAGGAATATCTGGTTTTGCATTTCCCACTGAAACACTATTGTTGTTGTTAGGTGCCCTTGAGTTGTCTCTGACTCATAGTGACCTTATGTACAACAGAATGAAATACTGCCCAATCTGGCTTCAGCTTCATGAACCCTGCTGTACCTGAGCCCATTGTTGCAGCCACTGTGTCAGCACATCTTGTTGAGTGCCGTCCCCTCCTTAGTTGACCCTCCACTTTACCAAGCACAATATCCTTTTCCAGAGAACGGTCCTGTGATAGCTGGAGCTGTGTGTCAACTTGGCTGGACTACAATTCTGTGTGGTTTAGGCAATTGTGATGTGGGTTGTTCCAATGATGGGATCAGATGTATATGTTTTGAGCAGCCAATCCAT